ACACTCTCTTTCTCCTTCTCCCCTCCAGAACTTTCTAGCTTCTCCTGGACCAACAGGAATACCAAAAGCCCCAGGATGTCACCAGAGCAGCCATCCTACCTCTAGTCTCTGAGACACATAGTTCCGTTTTTTCAAGACCTTGACTGCTATCAGGTTTTGATCCCAGATCTGATATTCACTACCTGCTACTCCAGCAGAGCTATCAGCTGTGTAGAACCAAGAGCACCCCATGTTCGTGACTTTAGTGGGTCGCTCTGCGCTCCAAACTCCTTCTGCTACAAGCAGAAGCATGACCTGCTCCACAGAATCAGGACAGCCATCATGTTCCCTTTTGATAGTACTAGGAAATGAGGACACAGTCCAATGCAACTCACTTGATACCTCAGCCCTCCACGAGAATGGATCTCCTTTGTGGGTCTGGTTTAGCACCATGTCAGAAGTCAATAACAGAAGAGTAAAGACGGGATGGGAACAAATCCAAGATCCTGGATCTCAATTAACAGATTTAGGCAAGCAGAAAGGGAAGCAAGACTAGAGGCATGCCCCCCAGGAGGAAGATTCACACAGATAATGACTACAGAGGACAGCCATACCTTTTGCATGTTCTGAACTGCTCTACCCAAGGACAACCCAATCCAGATTGAAGGAAGGCAATGGATTTTTTGTTTGTTTGTTTCCTCTGAATGAGCTGTCCTGTTCCCTTGCCATTGTGGGTGCAACACTGGGACTCTCTGTTCACATTAGGAAAAAGATAATCATATCCCAGGGTATGCAGGAACACTACCCTGGGAATTCCTGCCTAAAAGGTGACCCAGCAAAACAGCAGGAGAACAGAACAGTGGCTGCCCATGCTTTCCTAAGTGAATAGTTCATCTCAAATAACTTCCTGCATCCTTAGCTGTCTTTCTTAGCTGGGTGATGTTAAGAGTATTTCTAGCTTGGACTGTGTCTTTTATCCCATATTTACCAAAAATGGAAATGGCAGAAGGACAGACAGGCTAAAACATTCCCCTGAAACTCTGCTCTATCAGTTCTCAGAAATGAAAATTATTTTACTCATAAGACTTCTTCCAAGAATAAACTTAGGAGGTCATCCCCCACCAGACTGAAAACCCAGGAGACACCATAGTCTGTTTTCTGTTTACAGAAAAAATCATAGTTCCATCAGCAACCAGCAGAAGAGTCCACAAGCAGCTGAGACACTGCAAGAAAATGTTGAAAACTTTACAGGCCTGAAAATGCAATTAGGGCAGAGAAGTTGGGAAGGCAGAGCTAGCAAAGCAACAATTCCAAAATCAGAAGCCATCACCTGGCCTTCATCTGCCTCCTATGCTTTTTATTCACTAGTCTCATCTCTTTTTATCTTCTTACTCTTTCCTCATTTTCCATTCCTCTCAGCTTCTGTTTGCTGTTTTTTTTCTCCTTATCCCTATTTTCCACACAACCTCCTTCTGACATTCAATTCTTACCCCCCTGAAGCTGAATTGCTTGCACAGCTACTTAGAAGCTGTATGTCTCATCTGATGAAATCGTTATCACACTGACAGCAAATACCAGTAAAAAATACAACAGTGGTGTTTGTGTTTTTGTAAGGCTGTAAACTAGATTCCATAAATTTATTACCATATATAAATAGGAGCAAACACTCTCTAATCATAAAATCATTATAACCAAGCTGATTGCAGTATAACATAGAATCTTGCTGAACAGAAAATCTGTTCATTTGCAGAATCAAATTAATGTTATCAAGATCTACTATAGTAAACTGCACTGCTAATGTAAGCAAAGGTATAATTGAACTAAATTTTTAATAATAAATTATTAACTAAAAATAGGTTTGATAAACATACAACCAATGCAGATAAATGCAAAAGATACATAGCACCCCCTACCGTTAACTGGTTATAAATTCAGGATTTTTTTTCTGCCTCACAATTCAGTTTTTTAAGACCACCGAGTAAACATAAGCTAGTTGAGCGATCATACAACACTAAGAATGTTTTATTATAACCACACAGCACTAGAGAAATCTTCCTTCTCCCTCTTCGATCAGTCTGTGACAGTTGTCTTACACAGCTGACAATTTGGCCCAAGCCATTCAAATAAAACACAAACAAAGCCTTCCCCCTTGTTAAGGATTAGCTAGCCTGGAGTCTGAACACCTTGCAAGGTAAGCTCTTTATCCAGGCATGCCACAAAGCATTCTCCATTAATTAAGCTGTTTTTCAGGTCTTGGCTCAATTTCATTTTAACATGCACTTAGGAGAAAAAACAAGGAACCTTGTAACCAGCATCAGAACAGTCATTACAACAAAGCAACTTCCTCCTGGTCCTCATGTGCTTAAAACTAAAAAGATCCCTCTAGATTGCTTCAGGCAGCTGTCTGGGTCACTACAAAGCTTAACAGCATGTAACAATTCCCCACAGTGATAATAACTACTATAGCTGAAAGCTATTTGTAGTAGTCACTAAAACATCACTCTAAAGGCAAAGCAGCTATGTGCTGTTTGTCTGTGCTGTTTGAAGAGGCAAAGTGAAACTCAAAGTTGGATATCTCCCCTTCTGCACATCCAACAATCAATCATTTCTGAGCTACTGGTCCAAGATGCATTCAAAATACTCACCAAACTGAGACCTGAGCAATCCAGCTGTACAAGAGCCAGCTAGTGCTAACAACAGCAGCAACTCCCAATGCCCTTAGTTTTGTGTCCTTTCAAAATGGTCAGTTTGTGGTATCAAGGTAGGTGCCTGAACCAACATTGAAAATACTGGCTCAAGAGCAGCCCATAGCTCACCAGTGATGCCTCCATTACTCAGTGCTGCTGCTGTCTTCCTAACCATCACCTCAGCAGCTTTGCTCCTTCTCACCTCAAAGTGGCCTCACGTCCCAATCACTTTTACACCTTATCACACAGGCCTCTTCCTACGTCTCTGCTCATTCATTGCTCATCAGGTCTCCACTATAAAGCTGCCAGCACTAATCTGACCACACAGTATTGCACAATTCAGGACTGAAATTGCATTCACTTGTTGTGGATATTGCCTTTTTAAGCAGTAGATGACTTACAGTTCCCAATTGCACTACTAAATAACAAGACTTAAATTAAAAAGCAACTTTAAAAAAATAATAAAAAAAAACAACTAAAAAGTCACTTAAGAAAATTTAAACATGCAAAGGCTGAGAGCAGCATTAAGACTGCATAATGATGTGACAAACCCAATCATAGCAAACATGGAAAACCACGAAAAAGACGAGGCAATCTTCACTTTCTTGGTAAGAAACTAGTAGTTTCAAAAATAACGTTATTAATTCAGAATGCATATTTTAACATTTCTTAATGGTTACTGCTGAGGCGAGCTAGAGCTTGATTCTTGCTCATGTTTTGCTACTCACACAACAGGATTTGGGGATGATTTTTGTCATTTTTTTCTTGTAACTAACAATATTAACACCCCTAGCAATAATAAGGTAGAATACTCCAGTTTCCAAAATGGAAAAGCTGGATATACTGATTTACTGACCTAACTG